AAACAAAGACCAGTTCACAATCAGAAGTTTCTTTATTGACAAAAAATATATATGCACCCAAGGTTTGACAAGTGACATGCTGTAACTAAAAACAAAATGACTTCTCAAAGAAAGGTTATTGGGTTGGCAGGCACTTATACTCTGTCGGCATACTGCTCTGTGCTTCTTCCTGCATGTCTGCTTTGGGCTGTAGTAACCCATCAGCATTGTGGGTAACCCATCAGCATTGTGGGTAACCCATCAGCATTGTGGGTACACTCTCTATCCTCAGTCTGCTTTGGTTTTCTCAGGCCTGAAGAGGCGTGTATCTGCAAGACGAGTTCTGCTGTCTGTATTATTGTTTAAAAAGTTGGTTTCATAAAACGTTGCCTAATGTTGTTGCGTTACTAATGAACTAGAGGTGATCGTTTGGTTTTGTAATACTGTGTAAAAATATTTTTTATACTGTGTGATGCAAAGATATGTTGTCTATTTAGCCTGCTAACGTTAGCTAGCAGCTAGAAGGGTGTTGCGTACGTTTATAATTTATTGCGTTTCAGGTGGAGAGAGGGAACTGGATCTCTAGAAAGGAGCATGCAGACGGCCGACCAATAACCGTTCTCTAAGAAGTATTTTTCCTTTTGTTAGGTTCTGACGTACAGAGTAAAAAAATAACGGACAACTAGTCAAAGCTCAAACCAAGTTTATTCACCTAATGGGTCCAACAGCTGCATAAGACAAATATATATTTACACAAGCACATATATTTATACATTCCTCCTAGGCTGAGTCTCCTCCTCCCACATCTGGACAGCCAATACATCTCTGTTGCTAGGCAGGACTGATGCCTGTTCTTCCTCACTTCATCTGACCTGACCTTGGCCCGAATTCCTCCCTCCTCCCCAACTCACGGCTGTCCTGTTGACTGGAACCAGACTGTGGCCCTCCTCCTCGCCAGGGGATACCTGACGTCTAACCATAACATGTTCTGACACAATGTAAACGTTCTGCATTCCCCTCTCTCCCTCAGTGACATGAATAAGGATATTTCATATTTCAAGTTTAGAAGTCAGTACCCATCACTTTTTAATTACATTACAGCACGTCACCGAATGCCACCTGTCATATCTTGGGTGCATATATTTTTTTGTCAATAAAGAAACTTCTGATTGTGAACTGGTCTTTGTTTGACACTTCAAGACATTACTATGTCACAGCATTTAGGTGTCACTGGTTTTGAAGCACCCAACTGGTGTCGCTTTACTGAAGGACACAAAGTACACTAAGGCCACCTGACATGCTTATTGGGAAGGGATTTAACTGTAGAACTAAAGAGAAACAAGTCATGTTGCATTTTCCAGCCCTGATTCCATTTTATTACATAGAAACTGCCATCTCTGTTTAAACGTTACAAAGCATTATCTAGTAATTACATAATTATTACCACATTACTAACCCATATTACGAGCTGTAATGTAAAGTGCTCCCCAGACCTCTCCAGTTCAGTGAAACAGTATGTTTTCTTTCCATCTCTAGCAGAATACCTAATAAAGTACCTTGACCAACTCTCCACAGTCCAGAGGCATAACAACAACATTTGGCTATCACAGGATAAGGGTAAAACAGGACACCAATACCAAACAACAAACAACAAACAGAACACAAGGCCATTCATCCTATTACATGCACCTACTACACTCAGGATGATAACATAGTATAAGAAACGATAAGTCACAGTTCTTCAAAGGAACAAACGAGGAGGAATGGATGAGAAGGAAGGAATGAGAAGCCAGGGGGGGTTTGGGGAATGTTGGTGTCCCTTCTTTTAACAACTAGAGCAATGAATGACAACAGGAAGTATCATATTTATTTTCTTTACAAATAAACTCGGGAATGAAAACACTGAATAACTGTATCCTCAGACATTTATAAATAGAGGACTGTCGGGCATCAGGCGCTGGGAAGAGGAGGCTGAGAGAGAGAGAGAGAGAGAGAGAGAGAAAGAGAGAGAGAGATTGAGTGAGTGAGAGAGTGAGTGAGAGAGAGAGAATGAGAGAGAGAGAGAGTGAGACAGAGAGAGAGAGAGAGAGAGAGAGAGAGAGAGTGAGCGAGAGAGAGAGAGAGATAGTGAGAGATAGAGAGAGATTGAGAGAGAGAGTGAAAGATAGAGAGAGAGAGAGAGAGAGTGAGAGAGTGAGACAGAGTGAGACAGAGAGTGAGAGAGAGTGAGAGTTAGAGAGCGTGAGACAGAAAGAGAGAGTTGAGAATACAAGCGACAGGGAGAGAAGAAGACACAGGAAGAGAGAGAGAGAAGAGGAGAAGAGAGAGAAGAGAGAGGATAGAGAGATAGAGAGAGAGAGCCGAGAGAGAGTGAGAGTAAATATCAGTTCATCATAGGAGAGCTGTAGGGCTCCGCCCACTGTGATTGTGAGCACACATCTGGGGCAATCTCTAACTGATGAGAAGGAAGTAACTAAGAAAGTACCACAGCCGTGATAAGTTCCAGCAATCTCCTGCGATTACCTTTAGTTAGCATTCTTTGTTTTAGCCAAGGCTAGTGTACGTCCTTCAGAAATGTGAGGTCATATTTCTTACAATTCATGTGTTGTGGACGCACTCCTTTGTTATGCTAATTAGCGTTTTTACCGCGAGCTAGCAAGTGTAAGCTTGCTAACCCTGTTTGTCATCTCATTTCAGACATTTAGCATTTCAGGGTCTAGTCTTATATGCCCCGTGGTTATATGGATGTATTCTGTATAAATGATGTGGGTATTTTTGTTAGCGATGAGCCTTGTGGATGAATTATACATTCAAGTTCATGCAGTTGTGTGAGGATGATGGTGCTGCTCAGTAGTGCTGTGTGGTTGCACTCCTCTGATCATTCCTTAGTGTCAAGAGTTGCTGTAGGTAGGTGTGGTGTGAAATCAGGCGCAGGACGCAGAAGTAAAGTCCAAACAAAGTCTTTAGTAGATCAACACAAAATAATCCAAGAACAGCCCGGAGGCGAGAAAAGCGAGCACAGGCGTAACCAAACGGGCGCACTAAACATGTGCGTAAATCTCTCCTAAAAACAACAAGGAGGCAAACTACTAAATAGCGCACCAAAATAGGTAGCGCAGCAACACGGCAAGAAAACAACGAACGATACGTGACAGTTCACGGTTACCATAAACAGACTCGAAACAAAAACCCACCAACACGAATGAAAACCCGACTGTTTAAATATGGCTCCCAATCAGAGACACCAGCTGACACTCGTTGCCTCTGATTGGGAGTCACTCAGACCAACATAGAAATAAGTAAACCTAGACCCCAACAAAAACATAGAAACTAACACCCTGGCTCAACATACGAGAGTCCCCCCGAGCCAGGGCGTGACAGTACCCCCCCCCTAAAGGCGCGGACTCCGACCGCGCCAACGAAACACAACAGGGGAGGGACCCGGGTGGGCACTCCGCCTAGGCGGCGGATCCGGCTCCGGGCATGATCCCCACTCGCTCTCTAACCCCCCAAAGTACCCCTGGTCCGGTCTGGTCCTGCTGACCGGAGCTGGACTGCACACTGTGGAGCGGATTGCTCTAGCCTCCGGCGTAACGCATCTGACCGGCGCCGGACCAGGCACCAGTGGAACAGGCACGTGCCGTGCCGGACCGACGACGCACACCACTGGCTTGGTGTGGGGAACAGGCACGGGCCGTGCTGAACTGACGACGCACACCACTGGCTTGGTGTGGGGAGCAGGAGCGGGCCGGACAGGGCTGACGAAACGCACCACAGACTTGGTGCTGGGAGCAGGAATGGACCGGACTGGGCTGGCGACGCGCACCACAGACCTGGTGCGGAGAGCAGGAACGGGCAGAGCCGGGCTGACGAGACGCACCACAAGGCTTGTGCGGGGAGCAGGATGGGCCGGACTGGGCTGGCGACGCGCACCACAGACCTGGTGCGGGGAGCAGGAACGGACAGAGCCGGGCTGACGAGACGCACCACAGACTTGATGCGGGGAGCAGGAATGGGCCGGACTGGGGCTGGCGACGCACACCACAGACCTGGTGCGGAGAGCAGGAACGGGCAGAGCCGGGCTGACGAGACGCACCACAGACTTGGTGCGGGGAGCAGGAACAGACCGGACCGTACTAGGGACACACACCACTGGCCCCTACACCGGGATCTGGAACGGGCCGGAACCGGACTTGGTACACACCCCCAGTACCTCTCGCCGTGCCTCTACAACACCTCCATCCCCTCTTCTAACAGTGGCCCCCCGTAACCTGGCGCCCTCCTCTGCAACCCCCGCTGGACCGCTCCATACGGCCTCCTGCTGCCTGCGCCCCGACGTCGTTGAGCCCCCCCCTAAAAAATTTCTGGGGGTCTCTCCTCCCCCCGTGGGCCAGGCGTAACCAAACGGGCGCACTAAACATGTGCGTAAATCTCTCCTAAAAACAACAAGGAGGCAAACTACTAAATAGCGCACCAAAATAGGTAGCGCAGCAACACGGCAAGAAAACAACGAACGATACGTGACAGTTCACGGTTACCATAAACACAACCAAACAAAAACCCACCAACACGAATGAAAACCGACTGTTTTAAATATGGCTCCCAATCAGAGACAACCAGCTGACACTCGTTGCCTCTCATTGGGAGTCACTCAGACCAACATAGAAATAAGTAACCTAGACCCACAACAAAAACATAGAAACTAACACCCTGGCTCAACATACGAGAGTCCCCCGAGCCAGGGCGTGACACTTAGTGAAGTCACAGCCATGTTGTTAGGCTGTATTGCCCCTGTGTAGCAGATGACCTATTGTAGCCATATTATTTATAGCTTATGTAATTGGAGGTTGTATTAAGCCTATACCTGCCATTTACTATGGTATTTAATTTCCCCTTTTTCAGAACCACACACAAACTCTTGGTTAACACAATTGTCTGGCCATACATACAATGTACTGTGCTGTGCCGTTACTGCTCTGTGAATCAGCGTCATTAAACAACCTCAACTGGAATCATACCGGACTGTCATCTGTGCCCTTACAAGCACCTGGGAGAGAACACATAGTGCTAAGTAAAACTTAACCCTACATAATATACAGTCCACCAAGTCCTCAACTACAGAGAGTGAGAGACAGAGAGAGAGACAGAGAGAGAGACAGAGAGAGAGACAAGAGAGAGAAGAGAGAGAAAGGGAGAGGGAAGAGAGAGGGAAAAAGAAGAAAATCGAGACAAAAGAAAAGAGGGAAAAGAAAAAGAGAAAGAGAAAAAAAGAGAGAAGGGGAAGAGAAAAAAGAGGGGGAGAAAGAGAAAGAGGAGAGATAGAGGAGATAGTGAGAGATGAGAAGAGAGAGAGAGAGAAGGAAGAGAGAGAAGAGAGAGAAGAGAGGTAGAGAAGATAGAGAGTAGAGAGTATTCTGAATAGATACTAGCTCTCCAGACATCTACTTATCTCCTAGTGAGTACACTGAACCTAGAACTGAGCAGTATAGTTCCTTCCTCCTCTCCTCCTCTCCCTCCTTCCCTCTCCCTCCTCCTCTTCCTCCTCTCCCTCCTCCTCTCCCTCCTCCTCTCCTTCCTCTCCCTCCTCCTCTCCTTCCTCTCCCTCCTCCTCTCCCTCCTCTCCTTCCTCCTCTCCCTCCTCTCCTTCCTCTCCCTCCTCCTCCTCTCCTTTCTCCTCTCCCTCCTCTCCTTACTCCTCTCCCTCCTCTCCTTCCTCCTCTCCCCTCCCTTCCTCTCCCCTCCTCTCCTACTCCTCCTCCTCCTTCCTTCCTCTCTCCCTCCTCTCCTTCCTCCTTCTCCCTCCTCTCCTTCCTTCCTCTCCTTCCTCCTCCTTTCCTCCTCTCCCTCCTCTCTCCTTCCTCTCCTCCTCCCTCCTCTCCTCCCTCCTCCTCTCCTTCCTCTCCCCTCCTCTCCTCTCCTCCTTCTCCTCCCTCTTCCCTCCTCTCCTTCCTCTCTCCCTCCCTCCTCTCCTTCCTCCCCCTCCCCTCCTCCCTCCTTCCTCCTCTCCCTCCTCTCCTTCCTCTTCCCTCCTCCTCTCCTTCCTCCCCCCTCCTCCTCTCCTTCCTCCTCTCCTCTCCCTTTCCCCCTCTTCCTCCTCTCCCTCCTCTCCCTCCTCTCCTTCCTCCTCTCCCTCCTCTCCTTCCTCTCCCCCCTCCTCTCCTTCCTCCTCTCCCTCCTCTCCTTCCTCCTCTCCCTCCTCTCCTTCCTTCCTCCTCCTCCCCTCTCTCTCTTCCTCCTCTCCTCCTCTCCTTCCTCCCGCTCCTCTCCCTCCTCTTCCTCTCCTTCCTCCTCTCCCTCCTCTCCTTCCTCCTCTCCCTCCTCTCCTTCCTCTCCCTCCTCCTCTCCTTACTCCTCTCCCTTCTGACTTGACTACTGATTGTCACGTCTAGACATTTCTTAACCGGTTGTTCATTGCTCTAGTTCTTAAAATCAAAGATCACAAACTAATAATAAACCAAATCATATAGAAATAAATATATTAGCTTATGCAGGGGGCACACTGAGAACACTGAACACACTGAACACATTGAACACACTGGACACACTGAACACACTGAGAACACTGGACACACTGAACACATTGAACACACTGAGAACACTAACACACTGAGAACACTGGACACACTGAGAACACTGAACACACTGAACACATTGAACACACTGAGAACACTGGACACACTGAACACATTGAACACACTGAGAACACTAACACACTGAGAACACTGGACACACTGAGAACACTGAACACACTGAACACATTGAACACACTGAGAACACTGGACACACTGAACACATTGAACACACTGAGAACACTAACACACTGAGAACACTGGACACACTGAACACATTGAACACACTGAGAACACTAACACACTGAGAACACTGGACACACTGAACACATTGAACACACTGAGAACACTGGACACACTGAGAACACTGGACACACTGAACACATTGAACACACTGAGAACACTGGACACACTGAGAACACTGGACACACTGAACACATTGAACACACTGAGAACACTGAACACACAGAGAACACTGAACACACTGAACACACAGAGAACACTGAACACAATGAACACATTGAACACACAGAGAACACTGAACACGAAACACACTGAATACAAAGGTAACACTGAACACAGAGAACACTGAACACACTGAACACACTTTTACCTTTAGCCCTAGAGTACCTCAGTAATGTACTTGGCCCTAGCTGGCCCTAGCTGGCCCCAGCCTCAACATAGGGGCTCCCTCCCTCTCTCTCTCTCTCCCTCTCTTCCACAGAGGCAGGAGGGTTAGTGTGGTAGACAACACTGAGACCAGTGAAATCCGAGGAGGAAGAGTGGGAGTGGTTTCGTGGCTGTTTGGAACCAACTGCAGGTCAGCGAGTGAAATGCTTGAAAGAAGAGGAAGTGGAGGACGAGGAGGAAGAGGAGGTTGGATCGTAGCTGTTTAGTCTGAAACACCTGCTGGGCAATGGGGACTTGAGGTGGAGGTGATTCTCCTGGGTTAGTGGAAGATGCGGAAAGGGATAAAGAGAGGGGGGGGGGGGGTGTGTACTCACTGGACTGGGCAGTACGTGCCTCTATGGGCTGTGTGTAGACCCCCAGGCCGAACTCGGAGCGGGCTGCCAGGGAGAAGCGGTACAGGGTGTCGGGCTTCAGACCCTCCACGGCGTATGACCCCACAGGGTTAAAGGTCACGTGGATCTGATAAAAGGGAGAGAACATCTTTTTGGATTAAACCCCTCTGGTAAGTCTAATACACAAGCATTACTAATCTCCCGTAAACATCAAAGATTAACAAGTCTGAGTTTAAGAGGTTTGTGCGTTAGGACTCAGCCCTCAACAGCTTGTTTTATTCTAACCTGTGTAGTTTGGTATATATAAACTGATACTGCAGTTGGTTATTTGTAGTATCACCCAATATCTGAGACACAGTAAAACACCTAAAATAACACTCCAATGACTCCCAGAATAAACTGGGTCTGCTACAGTAAGTCTATACACTGTTGAATATTAACACTGAGAGAAGAAGAACACCTTCAAAATGGTCCACATTTGTTGAGAGGTTAAATTGCTTTCTTTGCCTATTGATTGAACAGAAGACAGAAGGTAGGAGCAGCCAGCCACTATTATAGCTGATGGCTGAGAAGCAGATAGACAGGGATAATTGTTGTGGCTCTTTATTCCCTCCTTCCACGGAGGAGAGGAAATGAGAGGAGAGGAGGAATATGTATCTCTACAACCGCATTGCATAGCTGTATTCCCTGACACGTAACCGTTCAGAAAAATGACATCGTAAAAAAAAAAAAACCCTGGTGAGGAGAAACATTTATCTGTCTGCAGAGTAACAGAGGAGCCTGGAACAGTTAATTGTGTGTGTGTGTGTGTGTGTGTGTGTGTGTGTGTGTGTGGGGAGACAGACAGATTCGGAGACAGAGAGACAGAGGACGACTACACGGTCCAGGCTATTTCACTGTCTTTCCTACCTTGTTGTCAGAGTTACCCTCCCAGTACTGTAGTTCGTACTTGGTGATGGAATCCTGGACAGGCCACAGCCAGGTCAACATGATACGTGTATCCAACTCTGCCTCCGCCTCGAAGCTGGAGGGCTGGGCAGGAACTGGAGGGACAGGTGGGTGTTTGGACACAGGGACAGAGAGGTACAGGTGAGTGTTTGGACATAGGGACAGAGAGGTACAGGTGAGTGTTTGGACACAGGGACAGAGCAGGACAGGTGAGTGTTTGGACATCGGACAGAGCAGGAATCCTCATCATAAGTCTGACCTTTCAGAGGGTTAGCTGTGAAGGACTCATAATAAGTCTGACCTTTCAGAGGGTTAGCTGTGAAGGACTCATAATAAGTCTGACCTTTCAGAGGGTTAGCTGTGAATCCTCATAATAAGTCTGACCTTTCAGAGGGTTAGCTGTGAAGGACTCATAATAAGTCTGACCTTTCAGAGGGTTAGCTGTGAAGGACTCATAATAAGTCTGACCTTTCAGAGGGTTAGCTGTGAAGGACTCATAATAAGTCTGACCTTTCAGAGGGTTAGCTGTGAAGGACTCATAATAAGTCTGACCTTTCAGAGGGTTAGCTGTGAAGGACTCATTATAAATCTGACCTTTCAGAGGGTTAGCTGTGAATCCTCATCATAAGTCTGACCTTTCAGAGGGTTAGCTGTGAATCCTCATCATAAATCTGACCTTTCAGAGGGTTAGCTGTGAAGGACTCATTATAACATACTGTACACTCCACCCTAACATACACTCCATTTAGATTTTAGTCATTTAGCAGACGCTCTTATCCAGAGCGACTTATAGTTAGTGAGTGCATACATTTTCATACTGCCCCCACCCCCCCGTGGGAAACGAACCCACAACCCTGGTGTTGCAAGCGCCACGCTCTACCAACTGAGCTACACAGGGCCTTAACATACACTCCACCCTAACACACACACTCCCTCTCTCTCTCACCTCCCTGCTGAGTCTTGACCTGCAGTATTTCCGAGGGGGGTCCGTCCCCTACAGAGGTGAACCCCAGCACCCTGAGGCTGTAGGTGATGTCAGTGGTCAGCCCTGAGATTGTGGTCAGTCGGCTATCGTCAGTGTTGTGTTTCTGCCACCCACTCAGAGGGGCGTCCATGTCCGAGTTGTAGTACACACGGTACCTGGTGACAGTTACAAAGAAATCATTACATTCAACAGTCGAAAAAGAACTGTACCTATTGAGACGTTTTATTAAAATATAACCTTTTTAAAGATATGATAAGATAAGACAATATAGTACTTTATTAATCTCCCAAAGGCTTTTAAATAGTGTCTGTATTTCTTAATTATTTGTATATTTGTTTGATTGTTGTAGATCTTATTTAGTTAGAAAATAACTGTTATATCATACCTTATACTGTATACAGTGCCTTCAGAAAGTATTCACACCCTTGACTTTTTCCACATAGTTTTGTGTTACAGCCTGAATTTTAAATTGAGTTTGTGTCACTGGCCTACACACAATACCCCATAATGTCAGAGTGGAATTATGTTTGTAGACATTTGTACAAATTCATAAAAAATGAAAAACTGAAATGTCTTCGGTCAATAAGTATTCAACCCCTTTGTTATGGCAAGCCTAAATAAGTTCAGGAGTAAAAAATGTGCTTAACAAGTCACATAATTAGTTGCATGGATTCATTCCGTGAGCGATAATAGTGTTTAAGATGATTTTTTTTAAGTATTACTCTCATCTCTGTACACATACAATTATCTGTAAGGTCCCTCAGTCGAACAGTGAATTTTAAACACAGATTCAACCACAAAGACCAGGGAGGTTTTCCAATGCCTTACAAAGAAGTGCTCCTATTGGTAGATGGATAAAAAAAGTAAAAAGCAGACATTGAATATCCCTTTGAGCATAGTGAAGTTATTAATCACACTTTGTCACTACAAAGACACAGGCTTCATTCCTAACTCAGATGCCGAAGAGGAAGGAAACCGCTCAGGGATTTCACCATGAGTCCTATGGTGACTTTAAAACAGTTACAGAGTTTAATGACTGTGATAAGAGAAAACTGAGGATGGATCAACAACATTGTAGTTACTCCACAATACTAACCTAAATGACAGAGTGAAAAGAAGGAAGTCTGTAAAGAATAAAAAATATTCCTAAACATGCACCTGCTTGCAACAAGGCACTAAAGTAATACTGCAAAAAATGTGGCAAAGCAATTCAGTTTTTGTCCTGAATACAAAGTGTTATGTTCGGGGCAAATCCAATACAACACATTACTGAGTACCACTAAGTGTTTAAGGATAAAAAATGAACTGAATAGAGCTAAGCACAGGCACCTGGTTCAGTCTGCTTTTCACCATACCCTGGGAGATGAATTCACCTTTCAACAGGACAATAACCTAAAACACAAGGCCAAATCTACACTGGAGTAGCTTACCAAGAAGACAGTGACTGTTCCTGAGTGGTCGAGTTAAAGTTTTGTCTGAAATCTGCTTGAAAATCTACGGCAAGACCTGAAATCGGGTGTCTAGAAATGACCGACAAACCAATTTGACAGAGCTTGAAGAATTTTGAAAAGAATAAATGGGCAAATGTTGCAGCATCCAGGTGTGGAAAGCTCTTAGAGACTTACCCAGAAAGACTCACAGCTGTAATCGCTGCCAAAGGTGATTCTAACATGTATTGACTCAGGTGTATGAATACTTATGTAAATTATATATTTCTGTATTAAATTTTCAATACATTTGCAAACGTTTCTAAAAACATGTTTTGACTCCGTCATTATGGGGTATTGTGTGTAGATGGGTGAGAGAAAAAAATCAGTCCAATCCACTTTGAATTCAGGCTGGAACACAACAACACGTGGAATAGGTCAAGGGGGTATGAATACTTTCTGAAGGCACTGTACGTATGCCATTTGCTTATAAAGGACTTGTGAAACATCATTAAGCCTTCATAAGACATAGGCTGCATCCCAAATGGCACATATGACTCTGGTCAAAAGTAGTTCACTATATATATAGGGATTAGCATTTGGGACGCATTCATATTCACATGCTATGAAGTGTCTAGGAATCCTTCATTAAGCCTACATAAGACATATTCCTTTCTCGTCTTACCCTCTGATCTGTCCGTTAGGTTCCTCGGGTGGTTCCCATTGGACCAGCATGGTGGAGGCAGACAGCATGCGGACCTGGACAGCCAGTGGGGGTGAAGAGGGAGCCTGCTCCCCCGTACGGGTCTCTACCGGGTCAGAGGGCGGCCCACGCCCAATGTTGTTCACCGCCATCACGCGGAACTCGTACTCTGAGTAGGGGCTGAGCCCGCCGATGCTGTAACGGGTGGTAGCTACTCCGTCCACCTGCAATATCATAATATGGTTATTTAGCGAACACTTCCATCCAAAGCTACTTACAGAACCAATCAACGTTGGGGTTTCTACATTAGCACCATGTGTAGGGAAAATCCCGGTTGGAGGTTTCCCAGAATCAGGAAGGGAAAAAGCAGGACATCTGGAGTCCTCGAACCAGGATTTCTGAAAAACCTGGGAATTTGGGAAAAGTGACCAGGGATTCTGCAACCCTAACCATGTTGTAACCCAGTGAACCATTGGAACCTACCTCTTGGAAGCCCGTGTAGGTGGTTTTAGGCCTGTACTGGATCATGTAGAAGGACACAGGTTCAGGGTTCCCAGAGTCCCAGGTGAGAGTCACACTGGTGGCTGTGGTCTCAGTCACTATGAGAGAGGTTGGGGGCTTGGGGAGGGCTGGAGGAAGAGAGATGGAGAGAGAAGGACGAGAGAGAGAGAGAGAGAGAGAGAGAGAAGGAGAGAGGAGAGAGACAGATACAAATAGCCAGAGACCGAGACAGAGAGAAGAAAAAGAGAGAGAGAGAGAGAGAGATAGACAAGACAACGAGAGAGATATAGATAGATCTATTCTCTCTCTCTCGAGAGAGAGGAATGTCTCTGCCAGAGCTCTCGCTCTCGGTGAGCATCTCTCGATCTCCTCGTAACCTCTTCTCATCTCTCTTTCCTCTCTCCCTCTCCCGCTCTCTCTCTCTACTCTGCTTCTCTTCTCTCTCTCAGTTAGTCTATCTATTACGATGTTAACAGAGTCCAGCAGCACAGCTCCTGACTATATAAATGACCCTGACAATCTCTGTGTCCCGAATGGCACCCTATACCCTATATAATACCCTATGGGCCCCACCCTATACCCTATATAATACCCTATGGGCCCCACCCTATACCCTATATAATACCCTATGGGCCCCACCCTATACCCTATATAATACCCTATGGGCCCCACCCTATACCCTATATAATACCCTATGGGCCCCACCCTATACCCTATATAATACCCTATGGGCCCCACCCTATACCCTATATAATACCCTATGGGCCCCACCCTATACCCTATATAATACCCTATGGGCCCTGGCAGGGACTGATAGGGATGGTCAGGTCACACATGAAGACCAGGGTTTCCGTTCTGAAAATGTGTGACTGGACATTTGACCAGCAGCATTTTAATTGACCGGACATTTGAGAAATGTACCAGACCCATATGCATTGGGTGCGTAACGTGATTAACTCAATCACTGTTTTTTCAAAGAAAAGATGATGAAATATTGAAATATTGCGATATGCCTGGCTGGGCCTCTCCACTTTTCACTGACAGTCGCAACTCAACAATCATCTATTTGGTATTTGCTGAGCGCGCTGTCCAAATTGTTCGGGCTGCCTTTCCTTCCAACTGTAGGCAATGCGATTTAAAACAATTCACAAATCATTTTTTTTGTTTTGAAGGCTAAGGGGAAGCTAACGATCCTCTGTGGCCAAATCATGCTCTAGTAGCCTCTATTTTGAATGACTTCATTTATTTCTGTATAGACAGGAGTAGGCTAATTAGTATCTATCATGTTGACAATTTAATTCAATTTACTTAGGGAAATTCTGTTGAGACAGTCCTCTGTAGCTCAATTGGTAGAGCACGGCGCTTGTAACGCCAGGGTAGTGGGTTCGATCCCCGGGACCACCCATACGTAAAAATGTACGCGCACATGACTGTAAGTCGCTTTGGATAAAAGCGTCTGCTAAATGGCGTATTATTATAATATTATTAAATAGCCCAAACAGACTCTGGGATAGCTGTAGGACAGATCCCATATCCATTCAACCAGTAGGTCTAGGCTCTGGGATAGCTGTAGGACAGATCCCATATCCATTCAACCAGCAGGTCTAGGCTCTGGGATAGCTGTAGGACAGATCCCATATCCATTCAACCAGCAGGTCTAGGCTCTGGGATAGCTGTAGGACAGATCCCATATCCATTCAATCAGCAGGTCTAGGCTCTGGGATAGCTGTAGGACAGATCCCATATCCATTCAACCAGCAGGTCTAGGCTCTGGGATAGCTGTAGGACAGATCCCATATCCATTCAACCAGTAGGTCTAGGCTCTGGGATAGCTGTAGGACAGATCCCATATCCATTCAACCAGCAGGTCTAGGCTCTGGGATAGCTGTAGGACAGATCCCATATCCATACAACCAGTAGGTCTAGGCTACATAAAAATAAAAAATGGTTCTTCTTCTCTGGTGCCAATTTTTTTATTCTTCGGCTTTTCTATAAAAATAAAATATATGGCCAAAAGCCGGCTATTACCGGCTAAAGGAAACCCTGACAGACACACAGACACACAGACACACAGACACACCCACAGCCCAGTCCGGACGTATGTTCCCGACCAGACACACAGACACACCCACAGCCCAGTCCGGACGTATGTTCCCGACCAGACACACAGACACACCCACAGCCCAGTCCGGACGTATGTTCCCGACCAGACACACAGACACGCCACCAGAATATTGTGGAGCTCAGAAAGCCTCTTATTTTTCACCAGCCCCAATACCCACAACTACTGTGGGTCCTTCCCTTAAATACCTCACAATCAACATACCGTGTGTGTGTGTGTGTGTATGTGTGTGTGTGTGTGTGTGTGTGTGTGTGTGTGTGTGTCCACACGTTTGTGCATAACTTCATGGGGTAAGCTAAGTTGATCCTCTACCAAATCTAAAGTGAGTCAAACATTTTACAATGATGTTTACAATGTCTTTCACTCTCTTATGGCTTTCAGGCCAAATTTCAGTTAGTCAGGTGGTATTGCAGGCAGTTGATGGTGTGTGTGTTTGTGTGTGTGAACCCAGGAAAATTTGCCCTGATAGCCATTTGATCAGATCACAGGTGCATCAAACATGTTGCAGCAACACTGACTTTATGGTGGAAACTAGGAAGCTGTTTGATCGACTCAAACTCATAACAATCTGCCATAATGAGTCACACTGCTTGGCTTGTCATCAACCAGACTTCCCAGTCATCACAACTTGTAGTGTACGTGAGAGAACACAGTGGCTGTATCCCAGGGCCTATATGGGCTCTGGTCAAAAGTAGCACACTATGTTGGGATTAGGGTGCGATTTGGGATACAGCTTGTCATGTACGTGATAACACACAGTCCCGTCCCAGAGCAGATTACTCATCATGAGATCATTATAGGGTGAGTCCCAAAAGGCACCCTATTCCCTATATAGTGCACTACTACCAGGGCACATAGGGAATAGGGTTCCATTTGGGACTCAAACACTGTGTCCTCCACTCACCTAGCCAGCATGTTGTCTTGATTCAAACACACACACACACACACACACACACACACACACACACACACACACTGCCTGACTAACTAAAATATGTCCTGAAAGCCAAAAGAGAGTGCAAGACACACACACACACACACACACACGCACGCGCGCAGCGTGACCTTTGACCCCTCACCTTTGATGGAGACCTGAGCGGTAGCCTCGATCATGCCCAGTGATGATATGGCCACGCAGGTGTAGTTGGCTGACTCCTTGACCATGGTCACCTCCAGAACATTCCGACCAATGGGCATCTCATCCTCCTAAATAAGAAGAATCCTAAAGGTCCATTATCTAGCTTTGTGTCTGACCTGACATATTTCAGATAGAAATGCAAGTAATAGATCTTCAGCATTAGCATTGAAAGCGAGTCTGATAAGCGGTAAATCCGTTCTATGCACTTTATTTCTATGCTTCCCCTCCTTTAAACTTAATTCAACACAATTCATACAGAGACTGCATCTCAAGGTGCTGTAGTAATAAATCCAGAATAAAACAGATACAAAAATAAATAAACACGGTAAAGAAGAGTTTCAGCAAAACAGTAACAGTGAAAGTAAAGACCTTGGTGAGTTCAATTTCTCCCATTATCCACTTGACATAGGGCATGGGCGATCCCACAGCAACACACGTCAGGTTGACACTGCCCCCAGGCATCACCTCATGGTTGGTAGGTGGGATGGAGAACCGCGGAGGGACACGACGTACTGAAGAGGAGAGGAGAGGAGAGGAGAGGAGAGAGGAGAATGTTAAGATGGGATCTCAAGAGGTGGAGTGGTGGAGGAGATCAGGGACAGATTCTGTTCTGTGAGGAGAGGAGAGAGAGTGTGTTACAACAAGATGTGGAGATGTGGAGGCGATATAAATGTGTGGCCTTCACTTCTGTGTTGAGAGGAGAGGAGAAGGGGTGAGGGAGAGGAGAAGGGGTGAGTGAGAGGAGAGGAGAGGAGAGGAGAAGGGGAGAGGAGAGGAGAGGAGAGGAAGGGTGAGTGAGAGGAGATGAGAGGAAAAGGGGGTGAGTGAGAGGAGAGGAGAGGGAGAGGAGAGGAGAGAGAGGGGGAGAGGAGAGGAGAGGAGAGGAGAGGAGAAGGATGAGGAGAGGAGAGGAGAGGAGAGGAGGGAGAGGAGGAGGAGAGGAGAGGAGAGGAGGGGAGGAGAGGGGTGAGGGAGGAGGAGAGGAGAAGGGGGTGAGGAGAGGAGAGGAGAGGAGGAAGGGGTGAGGGAGAGGAGAGGAGGAGGGAGGTAGGGAGAGGAGAGGAGAGGAGAGGAGAGGAGAGGAGAGGAGAGGAGAGGAGGAGGGAGAGGAGAGGAGAGGAGAGGAGAGGAGAGGAGAGGAGAGGAGAGGAGAGGGGGAGGAGAGAGGAGAGGAAAAGGGGGGAGGAGAGGAGAGGAGAGGAGAGGAGAGGAGAAGGGGGGAGGAGAGGGAGAGGAGAGGAGGAAGGGGGTGGAGTGAGAGGAGAGGAGAGGAGAGGAGAAGGGGTGAGTGAGAGGAGAGGGAGAAGGGGGTGAGTGAGAGGAGAGGAGAGGAGAAGGGGTGAGTGAGAGGAGAGGAGAGGAGAGGAGAAGGGGTGAGTGAGAGGAGATGAGAAGGGGGTGAGTGAGAGGAGATGAGAGGAGAAGGGGGTGAGTGAGAGGAGAGGAGAAGGGGTGAGTGAGAGGAGAGGAGAGGAGAGGAGTAGGGGTGAGTGTGGGTGTCAGGGACAGGGAGAGTTCTGTGTGGAATAAACCGTGACTTTGACATCACCACGCTTGAAAAGAGGAGCAGGAATTGAGATGAGAGTATCTTCAATGAGATGAGATGAGAGTATGTGATTAGAGTATCTAAATAAAGATTATCTTAAATAAGACATCTCAGTCCCCCCCACCCCCCAGTAATAAAACAATAAAGTTAAAATGCAAATAAACCTTGCCTTTCCCTTCTGGCACTGACATTGTTGATAAACATGTAATTACTATGACTGTGATATGTGGTTGTCTCACCTGAAGGAACGAACTGTAAGCCTCTCTGGATAAGAGCATCTGCTAAATGACTAACGTGTAAAATGTCAAATGTAATGAATCTAATGTGTGAGGCTGATCACTTTTCGACCACGATCCAACAGGTGAGAAGCATAACCAATAAAGAAACAGCATCTTCTTGTGATTCTAGTGATTTGGAGTTGTTCCGAGTTACGCAGCACTCAGACAACATTTGTTGGTAAAACTTTGCAATATAAACCTTTTGTTTTGCTCCTTATAAAAAGGGGGAATGTATTTAAATATGCCACTTTGATTTGAATAACACTCTACTAGACTAGATCTATATCTGTTCCCCTTTGACAGTGTGTCAAACGGCGCTGAGAGCGGAGAGAGAGAGTTACGTCATTCTGAGACTCTTTGAGACCCTGTGGAGATGCATTGTTTGACTTTCTCTCTCTCTCCCCCTCTTTCTCTCTCTCTCCCCCTCTTTCTCTCTCTCTCTCCTCTCTTTGTGAGGCTCTGATGTGCAGATAAGCTGACATTAAAAAGGGGTTCCCATGGAGACAGAGAGCGCCTGTTGACGTGGTCGCTAGGGAATAGAAGCTACTATCTACACACACACACACACACACACACACACACACATACACAGACACACACACACACACACACACACACACACACACACAGACACACACACACACACACACACACACACACACACACACACACAGAGAGAGAGCTTGAATGCAGCAGTAGTGAATAGCTAACTGCCAGAGAATAAACAGAACAGAACCATTTACATATGAACTGTTGTTTTCTGTATAAATAAAGCTTTATCCAAGTCAACGTTTCTATCTAAGAGAAATAGCAGCTAGCGCTATTCATTCTCTGTCACGTATTTTGTACGTGTGACTTTTAGTCGACACAAATAGCAGAGCTGAAAGTATCTCATATGTGACAGGGAAGAGAGGCAAGTTGGCAGCTAAATGTTGACAGGCCTGAGTTTGAGAGAGAAAAGGCAGTTGTGACATTAGCACAGCCTTGCTGTGGGCTGCCACACTGCAGATTACACACTATAAAACTAGAACTGTTTTAACCGTGTATAACCCACACTCATGGACAATAAACTATCAACATTATATACTGTTCTATCCTGTTAACGATATGTATAACTAACGCCTACCCTGACTACCAGCCTATACCAGTTATAATGTATAACTAACGACTACCCTGACTACCAGCCTATACCAGTTATAATGTATAACTAATGACTACCCTGACTACCAGCCTATACCAGTTACACTGTATAACTAATGACTATCCTGACTACCAGCCTATACCAGTTATACTGTATAACTAATGACTATCCTGACTACCAGCCTATACCAGTTATAATGTATAACTAACGACTACCCTAACTACCAGCCTATACCAGTTTTACTGTATAACTAATGACTATCCTGACTACCAGCCTATACCAGTTATACTGTATAACTAACGACTACCCTGACTACCAGCCTATACCAGTTATACTGTATAAACTAACGACTATCCTGATACCAGCCTATACCAGTTATACTGTATAACTAACGACTACCCTGACTACCAGCCTATACCAGTTATACGTATAAACTAACGACTACCCTGACTACCAGCCTATACCAGTTATACTGTATAACTAACGACTACCCTGACTACCAGCCTATACCAGTTATACTGTTATAACTAACGACTACCCTGACTACCAGCCTATACCAGTTATACTGTATAACTAACGACTACCCTAACTACCAGCCTATACCAGTTATACTGTATAACTAACGACTACCCTGACTACCAGCCTATACCAGTTATACTGTATAACTAACGACTACCCTGACTACCAGCCTATACCAGTTATACTGTATAACTAACGACTACCCTAACTACCAGCCTATACCAGTTATACTGTATAACTAACGACTACCCTGACTACAGCCTATACCAAGTTATACTGTATAACTAACGACTACCCTAACTACCAGCCTATACCAGTTATAATGTTATAACTAACGACTACCCTGACTACCAGCCTATACCAGTTATACTGTATAACTAACGACTACCCTGACTACCAGCCATATACCAGTATACTGTATAACTAACGACTATCCTGACTACCAGCCTATACCAGTTATACTGTATAACTAACGACTATCCTGACTACCAGCCTATACCAGTATACTGTATAACTAAGACTACCCTGACTACCAGCCTATACCAGTTATACTGTATATAACTAACGACTACCCTGACTACCAGCCTATACCAGTTATACTGTAAAACTAACGACTATCTGACTACCAGCCTATACCAGTTATACTGTATAACTAAGACTATCCTGACTACCAGCCTATACCAGTTATACTGTATAACTAACGACTACCTGACTACAGCCTATACCAGTTATAATGTATAACTAACGACTACCCTGACTACCAGCCTATACCAGTTATACTGTATAACTAACGACTACCCTGACTACCAGCCTATACCAGTTATACTGTATAACTAACGGACTATCCCTGATACCAGCCTATACCAGTTATACTGTATAACTAACGACTACCCTGACTACCAGCCTATACCAGTTATACTGTATAACTAACGACTACCCTGACTACCAGCCTATACCAGTTATACTGTATAACTAACGACTACCCTGAACTACCAGCCTATACCAGTTATACTGTATAACTAACGACTACCCCTAACTACCAGGCCTATACACGTTATACTGTATAACTAACGACTACCCTGACTACCAGGCCTATACCAGTTATACTGTATAACTAACGACTACCCTAACTACCAGCCTATACCAGTTATACTGTATAACTAACGACTACCCTAACTACCAGCCTTATACCAGTTATACTGTATAACTAACGGACTACCCTAACTACCAGCCTATACCAGTTATTACTGTATAACTAACGACTACCCTAACTACCAGCCTATACCAGTTATACTGTATAAACTAACGACTACCCTAACTACCAGCCTATACCAGTTATACTGTATAACTAACGATACCCTAACTACCAGCCTATACCAGTTATACTGTATAAACTAACGACTACCCTAACTACCAGCCTATACAGTTATACTGTATAACTAACGACTACCCTAACTACCAGCCTATACCAGTTATACTGTATAACTAACGACTACCTAACTACCAGCCTATACCAGTTATACTGTATAACTAACGACTACCCTGACTACCAGCCTATACCAGTATACTGTATAACTAACGGACTACCCTAACTACCAGCCTATACAGTTATACTGTATAACTAACGACTACCCTGACTACCAGCCTATACCAGTTATACTGATAAACTAACGACTACCCTGACTACCAGCCTATACCAGTTATACTGTATAACTAACGACTACCCTAAACTACCAGCCTATACCAGTTATACTGTATAACTAATGACTACCCTAACTACCAGCCTATAACCAGTTATACTGTATAACTAACGACTACCCTAACTACCAGCCTTATACCAGTTATACTGTATAACTAACGACTACCCTAACTACCAGCCTATACCAGTTATAATGTATAACTAACGACTACCCTGACTACCAGCCTATACCAGTTATACTGTATAACTAACGACTATCCTGACTACCAGCCTATACCAGTTATAATGTATAACTAACGACTACCCTAACTACCAGCCTATACCAGTTA